AATTATTAAATGTTCCATTTTATGGAGGGTAAGGCATTTTGGTTCTCTATTTCTTGTTGCTTTACGGATAGCCTACACTTTTAGGCCTATTATTAGTAGGTGGATTGAAACTCGAAAACAGAAATCAAACTAAGGTAATTCTAAATAAACATTTTTCTTTCGTTGTTGGCACTCAAAAACAGTAATTAGACTGTTTCCTAAACTCAAGTCTCCACGGAGAGTCCAACGATGCAAATATATTTATTCGAATCAGCAGGCAAGTGACTATGACTAGCTACCTTTTACTTATTTGATAAAATTAGAGCCGTAAATTGCCATGAAAAAGCCACGTAGCAGCGATAATTACATAGAATATAAGTAGCTTTCATATGTAAAAGTTAATTTTAGTTGTTTCTCTGATAGGATATAACCCCCAAAAACATCTTGGGAGCAACCCCAGTGTAGTACTAAGTTTCTTGTAGATAGAAAATATGTTTAATTTGTGTAGCTGCTCTTTCCAGACAAGTCTAGCCGTGATTTCAAACCTCTAACTTTTTGTGCCCCTCTACATTGTTTAAGCAATACATTTTACATTGAAATGATGTGATATGAAACATGCTTACATTCAAGTGAATCACTGCTTGTACTATGTTTGTGACTTAGGACTAATTGAAGAGTTATATCATATTCCTCTGAAAAATAAGCCTTAAAGAATATGCCTGGTTGTACTTTTGAATCAAAATTTTAATATTACCTCTGACAAAGCTTTTCTTTATTTTGCAGAATAAAGTGCAATGGAATGGCTTGACAGCTATTGAGGGATACAATCATAGATAGTTTACTGAGCTAGAACTTCATAAGTAACAGATATTACAATGAATAGTAATTAAAAGATTGTGACTTTGTTTCAAATGAATTTTGAGATTGTGATTTAAAAATTTGAGGTTTTTGAATTTGTTATGTATACAGCTCTTTGATATTGAGAGATAAATCCTTCATATTTGAGAGATAAATCCTTCTGCCCTGAGACAAAAGCTATGAGTGACAACACTTTTATGAACTGAAGACTAATACGGTTCATAAAAAAGGCTTACTACAGCAAAACATTTGATTACATTGGTAATTTTGTTCTAGAAATAATCGTAGATTACTGCATAAAGCTCACAAAATAAATTCATTTTACTGCTAAATGTTCTAAACATATACACAATTTTTGTAGCAAACATTTGAATTTGTAAAATATGTTTGAAGAACCTCCTGAAACAATCTAAATTACTGTTTCCACTCCAAAAATAATGTTATGAATATTGCAGTTTGTTTTGCTTTAGTAAGATTCAGCTGCTAGCAACAACTTCCATTGCTTAGTCACATCATAACATCTCAGTGATTGGTTCCTTTCCAAAACTTGAAAATGGAAAACCTTTATGGTTTTATAAACAGATGTTAATTTCATTTCAAAACAAGTGGTGAAGGCACATGTCTTTGTCAATCCACCAAGTCAAAGATGCACACAAGTTGCTCTACCTAGAAAATAAAATATAAAAGTATTTTTCATGTATCTATTAGCCTGCGCCTTTATAGATCTGATACATTCTTCTATGAGGCAGTCCCACATTTCAATTTTTCCATGGGGAAACAAAGATTAGGCCTAATGCCATGTAAAAAATTATTACTGAATTCATTAACATTAACTATAGCAATCTATTTGGGTATCTAAAACCAGGCAAGACTTTCCAAATAGCTACCTACTTCAAAGTAACTAACTGTAGCAATCTATTTGGGAAACTAAGGCCCCGTTTACACTGCCACAGATGACTTGTTGATCCGTATCAAAAGTGATACGGATTGGCCTCCCGTTTACACCACTCCAAGCTATCCGTAGCAAAACTGATACGGCTAACCGTATCACTTTTGATCCTTTTAGCAAAAGGATTTGAAATGGTCCAGACTCGTGAAAACCCAGTTTAAAGGGGGCATAACTGTACCTAAGAAATACAACGATCTTGGCCTACTAAAATAAAAATAGTAGTGTACTCACGGTGAAAAAGTGGAGCGTAGCTTCCTTTTTATTTGCAATCCTTGATTCTCATGGTCCTTGTTGTCATTTATTCCCTTTTCATCGTCAGTTCCCTATTTCGCATTTCTTACAGGCAAAATAAATGCAGCGAATACCTATTTCTCCAGCATCCTAGCTATTCATTTTCCCGCTGAAGTGGTCACAAGCGCATGGCGCCGATTGAAATTCGCCGGCCGCACTTTCTAAGGTTTGAGAACAATAGGATGCGCGATCCAGTTTTTTTTAGATCAGTGATAGCCCCTGGTTTAACCTCGTATTCGGCAAGAGGTACTTACACGTACTGATCATTTTGAAAATGGCGAATGAAAGTGATGTGGGATGTCGCATGTAATATCGCACTGAGTGTCCGTCCAGTTGAAGGCTGGTGTTTCTGTCGGATCAGCCCCATGGTAGAGAGATTAATCATTTCTATCTAGCGAGGGCTTAGAAAAGATAATTATTTAATGATTTGTTTTTAGAGTGGATTTTTCGTATAATGCTCTGTGTTGTACAAAATATTTGACTTCATTTACACGAAACACTAGTGACCAGTTTTGTATACGATACGTCTAAGGATTTTTCAAACTAATCGGCCAGTGAAATTTTTTAAGCTGATTTGGCTCACGAGCAAGTACTCACTGATGTTTTGTACTGCTTTGTTAATTGCAATTGTATGCAAGAAGTTAGTGTAAAGTACAATTCTGCTGAGTTTAGGCATTAGATCACTAATTGATGACCATATTTGACATTCTCCCGTCC